CATATATACATATATACATATATACATATATACATACATACATACATACATATATATACACATATACACACACACACACATATACACACACACACACACATATATATATATACATATATATACATACATATACATACATACATACATACACACACATATACACACTGTATGTATGTATGTATGCGCGCGCGCGCACACACACACACACACACACACACACACACACACACACTGTATGTATATGTTAGGATTTTAGTGTTTAATGCTGTAAGACACCCAGAATCCTTCTGATACAAGATGGGTGGCAAGTAAATGTAATAGACAAACAAACAAATAAATAAGTAATTAAACATGATCTTGTATTTGTCATTTATATTTTTTTATTTGTTGTCTTTTAAATGAGCCCTGTAGGCATCTCTTTACTTCCTTGATTTCCTGGGATTTCTTTGTAAGAAACTCAGGGATCTATATAACCAAAGCGAGGATGCTCAAAAGCAATCATGTTCCACACAACTGTCTGTCTCCCCATTCCAATAGGATATAAGGTGCTAGGCACTCATATGTGATGCCAAGAAAGCATTCAGATCTATCAGCTGCCAAGGTCAGGCTATGCTAATTTGTCTACCGCCTTTGCAGAATTTGTTGATGGCAGTAATGTGCAGCTTCACCTGACAGCGAACTGACTGTAGCAAAGGACTTTGAGCTCTGTGCTCCATTTTTAGATTGCATACCTTTTGTTCCAATGGGAACAAAAGTTCAAGTCCACAGCACTACAAGGAACCAGCCTGGCACCACCTTTCTGGCAATGACATGTAGGATGGCCAGCAGGCTGGATCACACACTAATGAAAGCTCTAGCTTGTTTTTACAATATCGTCTCAAAGAAAGGTTATACATTCAGGCACCATGAGAAGGCGCACAATTCATTATTGACATGGTCTTCTGTCAATGTTGACATGGACTCCTGTCAAAAGACAAATAATACATACATACACACAGAGAGAGAGAGAGAGAGAGAGAGGACACATACAGAGAGAGAGAGAGAGAGGACACATAGAGAGAGAGAGAGAGAGAGAGAGAGAGAGAGAGAGAGAGAGAGAGAGAGAGAGAGAGAGAGAGAGAGAGAGAGAGAGAGAGAGAGGAGATAGATCCCAAACACAAAACAGAATTTTATTGTTTTTACACTTCTAACCAGGTGTTTGATAAAGCAGTTCATAATTAAACCCATGGCACCTGACAGTATGGAAATAACAATGTTCATGGAATAACCATGCAGTTATTGAATCTGAAGAGGGCATGAATTATTTTCATCACAACTTATTCTTTTTCTTATCAGATTTGATGCACAGCAGTCTTGGATGAGTCTAAGCATTTTATTCATGGAAATGATTTTTTTATGTAAAACATAATAAAACAACCACTGCATGTACAAAAGCAATCAATTATACAGAAATCTTGGGACTATTTTTAATGGATTTGAGCAGCAACTCTTTTGTTGACTGGATTTTAACTTGATGGACACTAACCAATTTGAGAATCCAACTCAGAGAAACAGCTATCAAGGGAAAAATGGGTAAAGGAAAAAATTAAAACAAAAAAGATAATGCTTCCAGTGGCTTGCTTTGTGCCTCTTTCTGATGTATATCTGCTTTGAATATTGCAGAACATAATCTTTTTTTAAAATAAAACTTCCCTAGTCTTCACCAACTGAAATGAAAATTTAATACAAATTAAATAATGTAATTGCATTTATATAAATTCTTCCACTTCATTATGCCTCTTTAGGTCCTCTCTTCCACTCACTGTGGAATGTTCCATCATTATTTGGGTTATAAATTCCTACAGAATCTCTTTTGGATTTGATGTTATTTTGTTACCTAAAAACAATTAGATGGAACAAAGAAAGTCCCAACAGTTAGGGTGTTTTGGGTTTTTTTAATACTCATTTTTTTTATGCTGCTCATTTTTTAAGAGGAAACAACTTCAGAAATCTGCAATGTCAGATAATTGCAGCTGCAGTGAATTCAATTTGTTCTGTAGGCTGAAAATAATTTACTTTGCAACTGTATTTTCCATTTTAATTTTTTTTAAAACAGCCCTACCTTGACAGAATTCTGAAGGACAGTGACAGGGAAAGTAGTACATGGCATGGAACTCAAATAGAGTCGAAAGCTTTCATGGATAGTGGCACCTGAAAAATATAGAATTTTTAATAATACGTATGATAAAACAAGACATTTCTAATATAGTGAAACCAGGAACCATAAGATGCCTTATATTTCATTCCCTGGTCTCTGAGACTACTCCAATGTCAGAGCAGAGGGGGAATGTTACCATTTCTGTGAACCCTGACCAGGTTTCAGGGCTATTTAAAAAAAAAAAAAATTGGGAAAAATGTAAGATTTGCAAGAGCCAAAGGTTCACATTCTCATACCTAAATTCCCTCCTTCAGCTGGTATACAAATCCTTTAATAAAATTTTTGAGAGAGAAAGAAGATAATTAAAGATCTTTCTTCCTTCAAATTCCCTTTTGGAATGCTGATTCATCAAAAATCTGAGCTTTCTAGCTGTGAAGGAAAAATTGGTCAACAAGCCAGTTCTCAAAACAAAAGGCATTTTAAACTATTATGATCATTGTTCACCAATTTCTATTTCTCACTTTTCAGCAGATTCTATTAAATAAAAATTAAACTTGGGAAGCAATCTGGAAACTAATAATTCTAAATTTTTTGTGCTGAATGCGACCTGTTTCTGTATGTAATTCTGAAAGGTGGCAAAGCAACAAAGCATACATTTTCATCTAGAATACAGGTAGTTCTTAAGTTATAACTGAGTCATGCAGTCATTAAGCAAGATTTTTTCCTGACACTGGAAGTAAATGCCAGTTTCTGGCAAAAATATGGTAAATGGCAATCATGTAGACCTGGGTTGCTACAACGATGTAGATGTGTGTGTCGGTTGCCAAGCATCCAAAATGCAATCATGTGATTATAGATGGTGATGTCACAGAGATATTGGGTCATAAGTACCTTTTGGGGGTGTCCATTGTAATTTTTAATGGTCTCTAGTTAACTGGTTTTAAGTTAAGGACTACCTGTACATGTGTGAACATTTTTATCATAGGTCCAAAGAGATACAACTTGGTTTATTTCAATTAGAACACAAATAAATCAAGAGTGTGTTAGGATAGAGGTTAAAGGTTAAACTCAACATGACATAAATCTATTGACATAAAAAGATTGGGGGAAAACAAACTTTTGCTGCAAAAAGGAGTGAGGATTCTCATCCTCTCCCTCATATTCCTTTCCATATAATTTAAAATTTTCCTAGTGATTATTTTTAATTTTTATTTATTTGTTTGATTTCTTTCCCAACTTTACCATAAGTGCTCAAGGCAGCATCATACCATTCCTCTTCTGCATATGAGTATATATAATTGCCTATTGTGTTAGTTTATTCAACAGAAAATGAACCAAGAACCAAGAACCAAAATTCCATGATTCAAATCTTGTCTTCTATTGCCAAGAGTCTACAGCCAACCTATTTTTTCAGCAAATGTTCAGCAATATGGGAATAATAATCAGGTTCCATTTCATGAGGTTATTGCAAGGATAACTGAGATAATGTTTGTGGAAAAAGCGAATAACCATTAAAAATAAGAGGCATGTAAAACCTTCTGTCAGGAATGTTTCAATATCAAGAACTGCAGTAGAAAAGTAAAATATCATAGAAACGTTGAAAGCTATTAAATTATAGGACTGAAATATTCAGAAGATTACCAACCTTTCATCAATCTTTCTTTTAAATGTTACAATCTACCCCCAACCTCCAACATGACCCTGTAGTTTAAATTCTGAATCAATTCTGATTTCTTTCAGATGAAGCATTCCTAAGAAAGAAAAATAATTTTAAAATATTTACCTGGCTCTGTAAATGTTTTTATCAGCTCTTCCATTGCTAACATCCATGAAACAGCTAAATGACAATTCTGAAGAAATATCCAATTTCCTGTTCTCAGTGCATCCTTAATCATTCTTTCAGCAATAGGTCCTTGTCCTTGTCCTAATGAGATTGATTGCACTCTGAAAATCAATGCAATTTGTTAATATTCATATTATACATATCTGAAATACATTATTTAAAAATTCTAGATTCTTAGTGATTAGCAGCAGCAATTTACATGTAAACATAAACATAATTCAATTTTCACATAAACTGAGCAATCATTTAGTTATCCACCGAAATCAATACAGGATGTTTTGTATGCTACATTATTATGAATTTGGACTACAATATGATTCTTCTGAAAAGCAGTTTAAATTACTTGATACGGAATACATTCCACACTCAGAGCTCACGTAACCTGCTCTCTTTATTCATTTATTTCTTTTATTGTATTTATTCAAAACATCTATACACGCCTCATTAAAAATATAAGAAGACATTTTCGATAAAATTCAAACCACTAATGCAGTAAGTTTTAAAGTGATTAACGAGCCTTTTTGTACTGGTGCCTCAACCAGAAGGAAAAACTATGTATTTTTGAAATGGTGGAAAATCCTCAGGGTAGTCCAGGGATGTCAAACTGATGCCCGGGGGGCCTGGATGCATCACACGCTGGCTACCCCCACCCGTTTTAGCAAAGGGGAGAAAAGTCACGATACATCATGTGACAACAACGTGATGCCGTGAGTTTGACACCTCTGTGCTAGACCTTCTCAAATACAGCTGACATGAATCAGTTGTAATATTCACAACATCTCCCTGTGAAACCTGAAAGTTGCAAAGCTCAAAGTGAAGGCAATAAAAAGTTATTTTGAAAGTTCCATGAAGTCTTTGTCCCAAGAAAAATGGTAACATGTCAAAGCTCTTAGGCATGACCCAAAAAAGGTATGTGTTTGGAATGTATGTTTGGAATGTTTATTCAACTTGTATGCCGCCCTATTCCTGAGGGACTCAGGGCGGCTAACAAACCAAAGGGAAGGAGAATACAAACAGAACACAAGACAAACAAGTTAAAACAAAACAACAGTCACAACAGTTTAAATGGGGCCGGAAACTTGTCAGCCCCAGGCCTGCCGGAACAGCCAGGTCTTAGTGGCTTTGCGGAAAGCCGGAAAGGTGGTGAGGGTCCGGATCTC